AACATTGTCATGTACATTACCATGCCAATCCCTCCGAGAGTTGTCATGACAGAACTGTTTTTTTTTGGCCTTGTGTGTGGTTCTCCAGATGGCCGAGTGTGTGAATCGAGACCTCAGGTGTGCGGTTCGGGGCGCTGTATTGACCTGCCAGGCGGTCGACACACATGTGTGTGTAACACTGGATATATCCTTAACCCTCAGCAGGGCCACTGCCAAGGTATGAACCTGTGAGTTACTGCATGACTTAAAACATGAGAAATAAGCAACACTGCAGACTTCCACTCTCAAGAAGAAAAATATGTATGGTATCTTATCAGTGTACTTCCTAAAAAGGCTTTTAAATCTTGTAGATATTACATGTTTCTTCCACACCTCCAGACCACCTGCCATTTCTCCACAGCATATTTTAGATTGTTTTTACGTAACTCAACAGTATTTGGCATTGTAAAAGGATTCCTCATTTTCTCATTGGTGCATCAATGCTTTTAAGGTCAAAGATCAGGGTGATATTGCTGAGAGGACAGCTAGATCACATATTTATCATCTCTGATTTTCAGCGCTTTAACTGTGTTAATTTGTTTTATGCACATGCATGACTTTGTAATGCGTTACTTGTAACAATAAAAGTTACTTACAAATGAGGAGAAACACAAGCAATTTATCACATTGGAGCCAAAAATATTAGCAGTACCACAATCAGGGTTATTATAGTTACCTAAAAAAAAAAGTTAACTATATATATATGTATACTAAAATGAACAGCTGTATTTTTATTAAGTATATATATAAAAATACAGCTGTTCATTTTTAGTCCATGTTAGCTCAGGTCCATTAATAGATACAACTTTTGATTTTAATAACATATTAGTAAATGTTGGAATCAACATTAATTACTATTAATGAATGCTTCAGAAGTATTTTTCATTGTTAATTTATGTTAACTAATCTAGTTAACTAATGTTAACAAATGGGACCTTATTGTAGGATGCTACCAAAAAAACTTTATAAAAAATTATATATATATATATATATATATATATGTTACTTGAAAAAAATAAACCTTAACTGAAATAAAATATAACTAACTTAAAGTTATTTTATTTAAGCTAATTTTTGTTTAGTTTAAGTACTAAAACAACTAAAACTAAATCAATTAAAACTAATAAATAACAAATAATAAAAACTAGAAAAATATAAAAAACCTAATAAAAATAACAAACACATACAATTAAAACTTTAATGAAAAATTTAAGTGAAAAGATAAAATATAAAAATAAAACCTAATTTAAAATATTAACAAAATGTATAATTGTACATTGTAGTACAACAATACTGACTGTAATACAGAGTCAGAAGAAATCAATGATTAGTCCATGTTCTCTTTCTCTCTCTCCCCCTCACTTCCGGTGTGACTGTTGAGCGTGAGCGTGAGCGGTGAGTGGTGCGAGTGCGGGTGGTGATTGTGAGTGAATCTTTTTTTCTTTTTCTTTCTTTGCTTGGTTTGTTTTTGTTTTTTAAGTGTTTGTTACGGATTTGACTTGTTGGGCCGCGTGCTGCAGTTTCACTGTGCGGGCAGCATGACGGCCCCACGGTCTCAGGTGTTGAGTAATCTCACGCGGCGCCATGGGGTGAAAGTAGCGTCCGCGGTGAGTGTGGAAGACTGCTGTTTAGCTGTAGGTGAGGTCGTGGGGCATGAACATATCATGTCGGCCTCCAGGATGAACAGTGCCACAGTTGTTTTTCTCAGTTCAGTTGATAAGGCAAATGAGTTAGTGGAGACTGGTATAGTTGTCGACAATCTTTTTACTCCTGTACTCCCGCTTTCTATGCCATCTAAGAAGGTGGTGTTGTCTAATGTCCCGCCTTTCGTGAGTGACAAGACTTTAGTGGGAATTTTGTCCCGATATGGTAAACTAGTGTCACCTATCAAAATGGTATCAGTTGGCTGCAAATCCCCTCTCTTGAAACATGTGGTTTCGTTTAGGCGTTTTCTTTTTATGATTTTAAAAGAAGATGAAGAACTCAACTTGTCACTTCATCTTAAAGTTGATGATTGTGACTATGTGATTTATGCTACTACGGAAAAAATGAGATGTTTCAATTGCAGGGAGGTGGGCCATTTAATTCGCACGTGTCCTAGTAAAACAAATGAAAACAGGTCAGTGGCTGAGGATAGTGTGAGTAATGGAGGCGAGTCGGCTGAGGCCGGACCGTCAGACGCTGCTCCGTCGCAGACAGAATCAGGGGAAGGAAAGGGGAGAGATGACTCGAGTCTGTCTGCGAGTGAGAAGGTAACAGCGCAGGTAATTAACCCCGAGAGCGTGGGTGAGAAAAGCATTTCAGCTGCTAGCAATGCTGATACTCTGATTTCTAAATCCGTTATGGAGATAGATGTGCAAAGAGGTGATGGAGCGGTTAATGTCTCGCAGTCCGATTTGCTTTGGGATGGCGTTGATATGGAGACGGAACAGAGCCAATTTAAAGTGCCAACAAAGAGGAAAAAGGCTGGAGATTTACAAGCTGTTAAGTCAAAGAAAGCAGATGTGGAGGTTGGCTATAGTGACGATGGAATGGAAAGCGGTAGCGAGTCCTCTGATTCTAGCGTAAGTTTGTCTCAGAGTGACTTTTCTACCGGCAGTTATGAAGCTGAAGATATTAAACTCTTTCTCAGGGCTACAAAAAACAAAAGAGGGGTGCGTGTAATGGAGTATTTTCCCGACAAAAAACAGTTTGTTGACAAAACTAGGCTTTTCATGTCAGAGGGTTTGTTTACAAACAAGGAGATATATCGTTTAAAAAAGATAGTGAAAATACTTTCGTCGGGTGAGGTTAATGAAGGTAGTGAGAAAGCTTAGTATTATGGCAAGGAGTGTTATGGGTGTGTGCGAGATTTTGCTGTTTGTTTGTTTTTTCTATTTTTCAAACATGTGTGAGGTGAATATTGCAACAATGAATGTGAATGGTTTAAGGGAAATGAAAAAAAGAGCTGAAGTGTTTGAGGTGGTTAAACAAAAAAAAGTTGATGTTGCCATGTTGCAAGAAACTCATAGTGATTTAAGAAATGCTGCTGACTGGGCAGAGGAGTGGGATGGAGTCTCGGTTTTAAGTCACAACACTTCACTTAGTGGAGGGGTTGCCATTCTGTTCGCTAAAAGTTTTATTCCACACACATATCAGGCTGAGGAAGTTGTTAAAGGCAGGCTTTTGAAAGTAAGAGCCACTTTTGAAAACTGCACTTTTGTTTTTATTTGTGTGTACATCCCTACTTCAGCTGTGGAAAGGATGGTGTTTTTAAATGTACTTTGTTCTGTTATGCAAAAATGTTGTGTGGAAGAATACTTATTTCTGGGTGGTGATTTTAACTGTGCAGTGTCAAATTTAGATAGAAATCATATTGAGCCTCATTTGCCCTCTCGTAATCGTTTAATTCAACTTGTTAAGACGCATGAGTTATGTGACATTTGGAGACGATTTAATGGGGCACAAAGGCAGTACACCTGGACTCATGTACGTGACAGTGTTATCTCTTTGGCTAGGTTGGATCGGTTCTATGTTTTTAATCATCAATGTAATATTGTTAAAAGATGTTTAATTACCCCGTTGGGTTTTACTGATCACAGCATGGTACAGTGTTTTGTGTATTTGAGTTTCATCAAACCAAAGAGTGCATACTGGCAGTTAAATGTAAACTTGTTAAGTGATAAGTATTTCAAAGACATGTTTAAGGTGTTTTGGGGGGAGTTCAAAACCACAAAGGGTTCTTTTAACTCGTTACGACAATGGTGGGATTTTGGGAAAGTCCAAATGAAACAATTCTGCATACAATATGCTCAAAACGTCACTAAAGAGACTGCTTTAGTTATGAACACCTTGGAGGCTGATATTTTAAAACTTCAAAAGTTAGCTGAGTCAACTGGTGTCCAAAGCTATTTTGACACTTTGGTCAATAAGAAAACACAGTTGGCTGATTTGCTGGGTTTTAAAACGCAGGGGGCTTTGGTCAGATCGAGGTTCCAGAGTATGAACCAGATGGATGCTCCTTCCAAATTTTTTTTTAGTTTGGAGAAGAAGAATGGCCAGAGTAGGGCCATTCATGCCTTGCGCTCTGAGTGTGGTAGGCTAATGACGGACCCTGCAGAAATACGTAGGAGAGCAGTTTGTTTTTATGAAAGCTTGTATAAAAATGAGCTAGGAGCAGGATATGAGGGTGAAAGTGATTTCTTTGTTGGCTTGCCGCAGATGTCAGAGAAAGCAAATGCTGAAATCGCAGGTGCTTTGAGCGAGGGGGAGCTGTATAAGGCCCTCCAAGGAATGGAGTCTGGTAAGGCCCCGGGGATTGACGGGCTGCCAGTTGACTTGTATAAGTCTTTCTGGGCTGAACTAAAAGAGGACTTGCTGGAGGTATTGAATGAAAGCCTGGCTGAAGGCCGGCTTCCTCTGAGCTGCCGCAGAGCAGTTTTAACCCTCTTGCCCAAAAAAGGTGACCTTACTGACATCAAGTGTTGGCGCCCCTTATCACTGCTCTGTAGCGACTACAAACTGCTCTCCAAAGTATTGGCTAATCGGTTAGCAGGGGTGATGAATTGTGTCATCCATTCTGATCAAACCTACTGTGTTCCCGGCAGATCGATTTTTGATAATGTGTCTTTAGTTCGTGATGTTTTTGAGGTCTCCAAGATGCTTAATCTGGACTGTGGTTTGATTTCTTTAGATCAGGAGAAGGCCTTTGACCGCGTGGAGCATTGTTACCTTTGGAAAGTTTTAGAGTCTTTTGGTTTTTGTCAAAAATTTATTGATTTTATCAGAGTTCTTTATAGTGGCGTTGAGAGCATTCTTAAGATCAATGGTGGTTTATGTGCTCCTTTTAAAGTTTATAGAGGTGTTAGGCAGGGGTGCTCACTCTCTGGCATGCTCTATTCTTTAGCGATTGAACCGCTTTTACAACAAATAAGGGTGAAATTACACGGCATATGCTTGCCAGATTGCAAGGAGAACCTTATTTTGTCAGCTTATGCTGATGATGTGATCGTTTTGATTTCTCTCTCTCTCTCTCTCTTTCTCTCTCTCTCTCACTAATAGACTTAAACGAGTGCCTGCTGACGCCCCGGCCGTGTTCTGTGGGTCAGTGTGAGAATACAGCGGGAAGCTTCCGGTGCGTTTGTCCATCAGGATACCAGACCAACTCCCAGCAGACCCTGTGTGTCGGTCAGAAACATCTCATTCTCTCAGTGCGCTGGAGAAACACTGCCTAAGAGCATGTTTGTAAAATGTCGTGCATGTACACTGTAAAATCCAATAGTTTACCTTACTTAGATTTAGTTAGTTATCTTTACTTAGTTGTTATACTTACTAGGTTTTATTAAGTTACAGCTACTTTCAAGGCAAATAAAACAATTTACTTATTGTTTTGAGTGACACTTACTTAAAATATTCAAGTAGACACAAAGGAACCAATGACATTAAGAAAGCAGTGAGAGGCAGCAGTGCACTAATATGTTGCCAATGTGCAACATAACAAGAAGTCAGAGTTATTTGATTTCAAAGGAAGAAAAGTAATAAATAGGTTGCTTTTAGAACGTGATCTATCTTCTAATTAAAGCATTAGTGTGGTTTTAGTGTGGGTTTATTAATGAACATCATCAAATTTCTCTTTTCATAAATACCCTGAGATGCTTTTATTTGGGTTTATATAATCCTTAAATTGTGTGTGGTAACATGCTAAAGTCACACACAGACTTAAACATTCAGTACGTGAATCACAACAATGGTAACAATTCAATTTCTATGGAGTCAATATTTTTTAGTTACTAGAACTCTTGTGTAAGTAAACCATACTAACTAAGCATTTGTCAGTACAACATACTATTCTTATTTCACTTTACTTCGTTTTTTCAAGGCAATCGGTTTGCATGCTTTTTTTAAGTAAGCCCAACTAATTAGATTTTACAGTGTACTGTAATCACTGATGAGATCGATGGATTCCACAGATTTGGATGAGTGCCGTCAGGTTCCCAATCCCTGTGTTAACGGCCGCTGTGAAAACACACTGGGCAGCTTCAGGTGTTTGTGCAGGACTGGATACAAGCTACAGGACAACAGCTGCATAGGTCATTCAAATCATTTTACCCACAATGCTTGCTTACTTTTTCTTTGCTTTGTACCTTCTAGCACTTTATTTTAGTGACAAAATGTTATATTATCCAATATTTTAAGACATTCATTTAATTACCATTCCATAGTTTGGGGTCAGAACGATTTTTTCTTTTAATGACACATTAAACCTCTGTTGCAAAGCAAAAATGCTTTTGAACCTTCTATTTATCAAATAATCTTGAAAAGCATGCATCACGGTTTCCACAAAAATATGAAGCAGCACAACCGTCTTCAACATTGATAACAATCAGAAATGTTTCTTGAGCAGCATATTAGAATGATTTCTGAAAGATCATGTGACTCTGAAGACTGGAGTAATGATGCTGAAAATTCAGCTTTGATCACAGAAATAAATTACATTTTAAAATATATTCACATAGAAAATCAGCTATTTTAAATTATAATAATATTTCACAATTTGTACTGTATTTTTTAATCAAATAAATGCAGCCTTGGTGAGCAGAAGAGACTTCTTTCAAAAGCATAACAAACTCTTACTGACCCCAAACATTTGACCAGTATTGTATCTGATGACTCAATGAAAATGTACTGCATGATAGGAATGAATCATGCGTTTTCTGTCTCCAAAAATAGTATTTGTTAGGTTTGTTAAATTGTGATTTCAAATCATGTGGTGTTTTGTGCTCTTAGACATAGATGAGTGTGTCGACCCCCTGCGCTGTCCGGGTCAGGAGTGTGTGAACTCTCAGGGCTCTTACAGGTGTGTCTCCTGCAAGCCGGGCTTTGATCTGCTCAATGGACAATGTTCAGGTAACACACTGCACACAAATATCAGCGGATTGACTGTAAATATTTATTTTACAGCAAACTAATCTGTATTAGTCTGCTGTAAAGGGGCCCTGTTACGTTGTGAAAAAGACTTCTAAAAAGATAACATGCTTTAAAAGATGTCAAATGAATGTAATGTTTTCAGACACTTAACTGCATGTTATTTACAATTAAATGAAAATGTATTAAAGTTTAAAATTAATTGAACTTAAGAGTGCTTTTTAATCTTTTTAATCATAATTACTTCTATTGTCTTTGAAATGTGGTTACTAAAAATAAGTTATTTTGAAATAAGTTACTACTGAATGTACTGACAAGCATTTATGATAAACTAAAATATACATTAATATATATTTTGTCATTTAATGTCATAAAGATGAAGTTAGACATAGGTCAAGTTGTGACTTAATGTAGGTCAATATTTTGGCTTTTTACAACTTAATTTCAGCATCAACAAAAACATAGTAGAAATAGAAGTAGATCTTTCACTTGAGATAAAACTAAAAACATTTCATTAGTCAATGTTTAATTTAGTTTACTTGATAAAAATAAATAGAGCTTCTAAAAACGTACTGTTTATTCTCATACATATTTTTTTTAAATACTGCATGCATAATATTTTCTGTTATGTGCTACAAAAAAATTATATTTAGTACATTTAAATTACATATGATAACACACTATAGTTAAAATTATAATCAGGCAATTTACATGTACTTTAGTATGTTAGTCAACACATCAAAATAAGTGTACTTAAAAGCACCACAAAAGATTAAACATAATGATTTAACGTACTTTAAAGTAAAACTTTTAATTTGACATTGTTAAAAAAGTGCACTTTTTTTAAAAGTCTACTTAAGAAACAAAGTCACGAAAGTGTCTCTCTTTAAGTGCACTTACGTGGTCTTCATTAATATTATATTCTCTGCAAGTACAGTTTTCAAAATATACTTTTTAAGATTTGACGTACACTGCAGGTGCACATTCAGCACAATCAAGCAAAGTTATTTTACACAACAGTTTACAAGAGTAAAACCTTTCAAGGTAAAAGCAATGGTTCTCTTCTTCAGATATTGATGAATGTCGCCGGACGCCGTCACCCTGTCCGGATGGCCGCTGTGAAAACACACCAGGCAGCTACAGATGCTCATGTCGAACAGGATACAGATTCCAGGTCAACACCTGTGTGGGTAAGAAGTGTAAAAGTGACTTAAGTCTAAATGATATACGTTTAGATGTAAAGTACGGCTGTTTTCCCGTGTGCATGGTTTGATATGCGTGATGTTACAGATGTGAATGAGTGTGAGGATCCATCCCAGTGTCCCGGACATGTCATTTAATGTCATAAAGATGAAGTTAGACATAGGTCAAGTTGTGACTTAATGTAGGTCAATATTTTGGCTTTTTACAACTTAATTTCAGCATCAACAAAAACATAGTAGAAATAGAAGTAGATCTTTCACTTGAGATAAAACTAAAAACATTTCATTAGTCAATGTTTAATTTAGTTTACTTGATAAAAATAAATAGAGCTTCTAAAAACGTACTGTTTATTCTCATACATATTTTTTTTAAATACTGCATGCATAATATTTTCTGTTATGTGCTACAAAAAAATTATATTTAGTACATTTAAATTACATATGATAACACACTATAGTTAAAATTATAATCAGGCAATTTACATGTACTTTAGTATGTTAGTCAACACATCAAAATAAGTGTACTTAAAAGCACCACAAAAGATTAAACATAATGATTTAACGTACTTTAAAGTAAAACTTTTAATTTGACATTGTTAAAAAAGTGCACTTTTTTTAAAAGTCTACTTAAGAAACAAAGTCACGAAAGTGTCTCTCTTTAAGTGCACTTACGTGGTCTTCATTAATATTATATTCTCTGCAAGTACAGTTTTCAAAATATACTTTTTAAGATTTGACGTACACTGCAGGTGCACATTCAGCACAATCAAGCAAAGTTATTTTACACAACAGTTTACAAGAGTAAAACCTTTCAAGGTAAAAGCAATGGTTCTCTTCTTCAGATATTGATGAATGTCGCCGGACGCCGTCACCCTGTCCGGATGGCCGCTGTGAAAACACACCAGGCAGCTACAGATGCTCATGTCGAACAGGATACAGATTCCAGGTCAACACCTGTGTGGGTAAGAAGTGTAAAAGTGACTTAAGTCTAAATGATATACGTTTAGATGTAAAGTACGGCTGTTTTCCCGTGTGCATGGTTTGATATGCGTGATGTTACAGATGTGAATGAGTGTGAGGATCCATCCCAGTGTCCCGGACAGGAGTGTGTGAACTCTCAGGGATCGTATCGCTGTGTGTCATGCAGGCCTGGATTTAGCCTTAAAAACAGAGCATGTTCAGGTAACAATCCATTTCAAATCACCAGCCAGTCACGATCCTGTGGAATACGAACAGACCGTGAATGTAGGATGGTGTTGTGTGTCTAGATATCGACGAATGCCGTCAGACGCCGTCTCCTTGCTCTAACGGACTGTGTGAAAACACGCTTGGCAGCTTCAGGTGTGTGTGCAGAACCGGCTACAGACTGCAGGGCGGCTCCTGCACAGGTATGAGCATTCATGCAAACCAGTTATTATTAATGACTTAAGCGCTGTGACTCATGTGTGTGTGCGTGTGGACACAGATCTGAATGAGTGTGAGGATCCATCCCAGTGTCCCGGACAGGAGTGTGTGAACTCTCAGGGATCGTATCGCTGTGTTTCATGCAGGCCCGGATTTAGCCTTAAAAACCGAGCATGTTCAGGTAAATACAACAAGTCAAGTCACCTTTATTTGAATAGCGCTTTATACAATATTGATTGTGTCAAAGCAGCTTTACAACACATCTGGACTGAAATGTAACCATGAATGGACCATTATAATTATAAACCTGGACATGACCTTTATAACAACCAAAGTAAACTGTTATCCTGATGGAAAAACCACCCAAAAAATGATACTTTGGACCAACTTAAAAATGACAGCCAAATTGATTTGTTTTTCTCCAATTATATTTATGGTTTGGTTCAAATTTTGATTTATTATTAATCAAACATATTTATTTTTCCAAAGGCAAAAACCCTCATACAAAGTAAAATATAATTGATTATAAAGACCACTGTACTTAATCAATATATACAGTGGTGTGAAAAAGTTTTTGCCCCCTTCCTGTTTTTTTAATTGTTTGCATATTTGTCACACTTAAAAGATTCAGATCATCAAACAAATTTTAATATTACACAAAGATAACCTGAGTAAATACAAACTGCAGTTTTGAAATTATGATTTCATTATATATATACATACATACACATACATACATATTTTTTTTTTTTTTTTTTTTACTAAATTTCACCATAAACAAAAGCTACATTAGCTATGATATGAGTAGAATTGGAATTTTCACTTTCTCAGAATTGGAGTTGATAACCCGAAACATGGAGTTTTTATCTCACAATTGGTGGTGGAAACAGGCTTCCATAGTTATGTGCCAAAAAAAATAAATAAATAAATAAATAAATAAAAAACATTAAAAAAGCATACAAAAAAAATAATTTCTGCAGTCAGTAAAGTAAATGACACTGTCATTTCACTTTTTTCAAATAAATAAATACATAGTTCTGATTGAGCTAGATGGTCTACCAGGTTGACATCAGCCATCATCAACAGCTGGAAATCCAGTTGATCAACCACCTAAACCAGCTTGAACCAGTTTATGCCCAGCTTCAAGCAGCTGAAGATCATCTGAATCTGTTTTTTGCTGGATTTGAAGCCTATTGTATAATGAGTGAGTAGTTTCTGTGTCTCAGATATCGACGAGTGTCGCCAGACTCCTGATGTGTGTGTTAACGGCCGCTGTGAGAATAACATGGGCAGCTACAGCTGTGTGTGTCGCCCTGGATTCAGACTGGAGAGAAACATCTGCACAGGTGACCAAACCGTCAGAGCCGTTTTACTGGACTAAACCTTCTCAAACTCATCATGTGCATACACTTTAGTATGTATTATGGAAATAATGTACTTTAAAAGAATACTGTATACTTAATTGTGAACTGGATTTAATGTCTTCAGAAACTTAAGTGCATGTTATTTACAAATAAATGAAAATGTATATAGGTTAAATTTATATGAAATGCAATTAGCTGAACTTTAGAGCTTTTTTGGCCCACTTAAGTAGGACTTCAGTACATCTTTATATGTAATTTCATAATTACTTATATTGTCTTTAAAATATGGTTAAAGTTACTGCTGAATGTGCTGTCATTTTTTTTTTAAATATACTTAAATGTCATTTCTATTGAACCTTGTATGTCATGTTTTTAAATATAGTTGTAATTACACATTTGTAATTTAGAACATTTAACGTTCTTCAGTTAAAATGATAATCAAGTACTTTACATGTGCTCAACACATCTAAATAAGTGTACTTCTGTAAAGCACGACAAAATATTTAAACACTTATTTAAAATGACCTTATATTAAAAGCTGACATTATTACAAGTGCATTTAAGTCTACTTAAGTGTGTTTAGAAACATAGTCATTAAAGTCACTTAAGTGGCCTTTTATTTAATTAATATCATATTATCTGCAAGTACAGTTTTTAAGTATATACTTAAGACTTGTAGTGCACTACAAGTGCACATACAATACAATTAAGCACACTTCTTTTTCACAAGCGGTCATTGCCAACTTCACCCACAAATGTGTTCCATTCATGAACTACTGTTTGGATGGTTCTGGTTTGTTTCTTATCCTGTTCCAGACGTGAACGAGTGTGAAAATGAGCTTCAGTGTCCAGGAAAAGAGTGTGTGAACTCGGTCGGCTCCTTCAAGTGTGTCTCCTGTCAGCCGGGCTTTGAGCTTCTTGACGGCCAATGCCAAGGTATCACTTTCGTTAACAAATAACATTGATTTGATATGAAAACAATAAAGGAAAGTGGATATTTATGTAGTTTTTAATGCAATTATGGGACACAACGTCACAATTTTTAATCAATCAATCAACATTTATGTCTGTAGCACATTTGAAGTTGACCACAGTGCTTTACACTATACCAAAATGACCACATAGACGCATAATAGAGAACTATGAGATATTACATTGATGTTTATGGTTGGTGTTTCTGTAAGTGATTTCAGACACTTTTCTAACTTTCTAACCACATGCCTTCTCTCCAGAAGTTCTCTCCAGAGTCACATTTATATAGCACATTTATGTTTTTATTTATATTTATAATAGTGGCTCAGTGGTAGAGCATTAGGTAGCAGCGCAAAAGGTCATGGGTTCGATTCCCAGGTTGAAGTTGACCACAGTGCTTTACACTATACCAAAATGACCACATAGACGCATAATAGAGAACTATGAGATATTACATTGATGTTTATGGTTGGTGTTTCTGTAAGTGATTTCAGACACTTTTCTAACTTTCTAACCACATGCCTTCTCTCCAGAAGTTCTCTCCAGAGTCACATTTATATAGCACATTTATGTATTTATTTATATTTATAATAGTGGCTCAGTGGTAGAGCATTAGGTAGCAGCGCAAAAGGTCGTGGGTTCGATTCCCAGTGAACACACATACTGGTACAAAATGTATAGTCTGAATGCACTGTAAGTCGCTTTAAGCGTCTGCTAAATGCATAAATTATTAATTATTAAATTATAGTGAATTCATATCCATTCAAAGCAGCTTAAATGCATGGTTCGGTGTTACAGTGTCTACATTTTAGCAAATCCAATGTTAAAAATCTTAAATGTGCAAAATGTTTCTGACTCTTTTTTTTTGTTATTGTTTGTTATTTCACAGAGACTGTTGTGTATGGGAGTCTGGTATAGTAACGGGTTTTGAATGTGCACTGTGTCTCCTGTGTGTTTTCAGATATAGATGAATGCAGTCAAAACCCCACGCGCTGCACTAATGGCCAATGCATGAACACTCCTGGCAGCTTCAGGTGTGTGTGTGACCTGGGCTTCAATCTACAGGACGCCACATGCACGGGTAAGAGAGCTCTAAAACCATAAAAAAAAAAAAATTGTATTTGAAATCCGGGTTATTATTGTTAACTAAAACTAAAACCTAAAAAAATTGTTATTTGAAATTAAATAAACTAACTGAAATAAAATGTTAAAAACGCAAACGTATTTTATTTGAGCTTGTTGTGAATGCTAATTTCTAATTTTCATTTAGTTTAACTTGGTGAACTAAACTAAATAAACTAAAACTAATAAATAAAAAATAATGACAACTATATACATATAAAAATTACAAAAACACTTTAACACTTTGGTTAAACTTTAACCAAAATGAAAGGGAAAACAGAAAATATAAAATAAATTTGAATTAAAAATATTAACGAAAATTTGTATATGAATGATACGAAAACAACATTGCTTGAAATAAAATAAATGCAAAATTAAATTAAATTAAATTAAATTCATAAAACTAAAACTTTACTAAAATTTTAACCAAAATTAAAGTGAAAAAAGAAATTATAAAACTAAAATCAAATTCAAAATATTAACAAAAAACTATAATTGCATATCAATGATCCTAAAATAACACTACTTGAAATAAAATAAATGTTAACTGGGGGGGGAAAAAAAATGGCCTTGGAAAGTAGCTGGAAAAAAAAAAAATTATATATATAT